ACACTTCTCTATGCAACCTTAATTCTGGATTCCTGTGCTAACCATAATACTCAATCATATATCACTTCTAATCTGTTCTTTCCCTCATCTGTTTCAATACAATATACATAATTTATCCAGTTTTTTTCTGTTCATTTCTTTTAAAGAAGAAAAACGGAACTTTTAGATTGAAGAAAGTGCTTTTTTAAAAAATTTACCTTTATTATTTTGTGTGCGTGTACCGTCAAATCAGGTCTGATTGGTACAGGAGGAGATTGTCCCTCCTTCTCCAGCAGAGCATCTGGTGGATTCGAACCGCTCATCTCTGGGATTGCAGTGCAGCTTCTTGCTCCTAGGTCACCAGAACTTGCTGAGAGGCTTTCTATATTATATTATTATATTAATCGTCATATGAATGCAGTCATAAAAGAAAATGTTTAACTTTATATAATTTTTTTAATGCTACAAGAGGCACCTGCGTTTGCCGGCAGCGGTGCCTTAAGTCCAGGAGGCCATCCTGTGACCCTACTTGTGGCTTGGATCTTTTGAAGAAAATATGTGTCTCCCTGGCGTGTGTGTGTGTGTGTGTGTGTGTGTGTGTGTGTGTGTGTGGCATTGCTCTGAAAATTTGGACCCTTTGAAATGGAACTGTCATATGACAGAGAAGAGAACAGGCAGTTGGCACTTGGGTTGTGGGCTCACCCTGTCTGCTCGTGCACAATCTCTGTCATGCTCGAACCCACGGTGGTAGTTGCTGGGTCAGTCAGTCCGTCTTGTTGAGAGTCTTCCTGTCTTTCACTGACTCTCCCTTCACCTTTCCCAGCTTACCACCTCTCTCCAAGTACTGATGCCTCCTGAAAATATGCCCAAAGGACGTGAGATGAAGTGTCACCATTTTTGCTTTTTAAGGAGCACTGTGGTTGCACTTTCTTCAAGGCAGATTTCTTTGTTCTTTTGGCAGTCATTGGGAGGGATAGTCAATACTCTTCTCCAACGCCACACTTCAAAGGCATCAATTGTTCTTCCGTCGTCTTTAGTCATTGTCCAACTTTCAGATGCAGAGGAAGCAACTGAGAATACTACAGCTTGGGGTAGGCACACCTTACTCTTTAAACAGACATCCTTGCCCTTTAAAACATTGGAGAGGACCTTGACAGTATATTGCTCCCATGTAGCATATCTTTTGATTTCGTGGCTGCTGCTATCAGGGGTACTGATCTGATGCCACATGAAATGAAGTCCTCGACAACTCCAATCTTGTCTCCATCTATCCATCATGCTGAGGTGTAACCTATATTTAAGCCTGTCATCTTGGATCTTCTAAGCGCCTCAAGTCTTTTTTACTTTCCACAAGTAAGGTGATCCAACAGACGATGGGAATTATCAAAGAATATCACTAATACCACATGCAAATACAATCTTGCTGAAAAGAATGAAAAACCGACTGGAACAGTGAGGACATAGAGAACTGCCAGAAATTCAAACAGGATTCAAAAGAAACCATTGGACAAAGAATTATCATTGCTGGTGTCAGAGGGATCTTGGCTGAAAGCAGAGAAAAATGGAAAGATGTTTACTTGTGTTTTCTTAAGTATGCAAAGATATTTGGCTATGTGAATCATAACAAATTATGTCCAATAATGAGAATGGGAATCCTAGAATACCTAATCGTGCTCTTGCAGAACCTATACCTTGGCTAAGAAGCTGTTGTCTGAGCAGAACTAGGGAAATACTGCATGGCTCAAAATCATGAAAGTTATGCATCAGGGTGGGATCATTTCTTCACACCTATTCAATCTTCATGCTGAGCAAATAATTTGAGAGGCTGAACTGTTAGGAAGAAGAGCATGGTATTGGGGCTGGAGGGAGGCTCATCAATAACCTGTGTTAATGCAGAAAACTCTGTGGAAATCACCATCGTCTGACCCTGTTGTGCACAGAGTCACCATGACTTGGAAGCCAGCATGGTGGCAACTAGCAACAAAAACAAGGAACCCTGGCGGCCTACTGGTTACGTGCCCCTCTGCTAGCTGAAAGGCCAGTGGCCTAACTTCACCGATTGCTCCATGTGGAAAAATGGTCATTTCTCCTAACATAAAAATGAACCACCTCAGAAAGCCGAGGGAGGGCTGCTAGGAGTCAGAACCAACTCAGCGGCAGTGGGTGGGTTGTTGGGATAGCAACAAGAACCAAACTTTCAGGGAGCTCTGGTGGCCTAGTGGCAAGAAGCTGCATTGCAATCCCAGAGGTACGCGGTTCAAATCCACCAAATGCTCTGCTGGAGAAGGAGAAACAATTTCCTCCGGTATCAGTCAGATCTGATTTGAAGGTACACATACAAAAATAATAAGAAATGAAAAAAACCCCAAAGTTTAAACTACAGCTTAAGCAAAGAACAGTGGCTTGGCGTCAAGGGAGCTTGAGTTCCACCAGCATTGTAGAGGTGGTGTGATGGGAACAGGGCATCCAAACCCGGACTAGCAGGGTGGTGTGAGTGAGGATTCTGGACACACTCTGGGTAAGGCGCCTGGCCCAGTGCCTCCTGAGCCGCTGTCTCCAGGGGGCCAGGCTACAATCCCAGGCCCTCTTCCTCACTCCCCCTTAGTGCTCTGGACAGAGTGTGATGTGTCTGCAGTGAATGGCAAGTCACATAGCAGACACACGAGGGACCCCCTCAGAGGCACAGCCCCTCAGGGTGAGGTGGAACCTGCTGGAAGCTGAATTTAATTGAACTACAAAAGTCACAGCTCTGCTGGCCTAGTAGTAAGGAGCTGTGTTATCAACCTGAAGGTATGTGGTTTGAATCCACCAGCTGCTCAGTGGGAGAAGTGTTAAGTTAGCAGACTTAAGGAAGAAATCAGAGAGAATGAGAGGAAGCTGAATGCAGCTTTATTAAAGGGGGGGTGGGGGAGCTCCCGCGTGAAGTTCCTCATTCTGGGGATGCAGAATGGGGAAGTCACACTGTGAACTTACTGGGGAAGATTTTTATAACCGAGTCTTTAGGGAAGGGCATTCCACTCTGATTCACGATCTACCTGCTAGCTCAGCCAGGCAGCCAAGGCCGTTTGCTCTTCTTAGCAGCAGCAGGCAAGGCCGTCAGTGTTTGAATTCTGAATACTTCATTCTTCTCTTTGGCCTCCTTTGTCCAGACTTAACAAGAAGGATGAGCAATCTCCTCCTGTGTGATTTCTGCCTCTGATGACCTGCTGGAGGGCCACCTATGAGTCACTTCCAACTCGACTGCACACAAGAAGTCACATTAGTCCTTACTTCTTGGTCATTGTTTAACCCAAAGGTCACACGTGGGCATTCAAGGGCCCAGTTCAGTCAGCTTGTTGTGACTTAGTGGGAAGTAACCCAGCTGACCCTCCAGGAGGGTTTCAGAGGAAGGAGACCACTCGTCTTTCTCCTGCAGAGCAGCTGGGAGATTCAAATCAGCCTTAGGGCCGACAGCACAACTTCTTCCTACTAGATTCCCTCAGTGTCATCTGGACACAGGCTTTTTCAGAGAAAAAATATATAA